AACTGTAGATGTGAAAGGAAAGCCATAAAAGTTTATGATGCGTTAGGGCAATAAAGTTTTACAATTCTGTACTGTAAATGACTGAATCAGAAGTGGAGCCATGCAGACAATGAGCTCGCATTACAGTGGATCTCTCCTCTTGAAAACAGCTTTGTATTCTTGTACCGTAAACACTTGTACAAATTATGTGTTTGAAAGATAATAATGTGTTTGAAAGACATATAGTAATAATGGTAATAACCCACTGAGTCATAATTCAAACGAAAATGTATGTCAGTAGTTCAGTAGATCAGTAGTTGTTGCACTGCTGAAATGTTGAGAAAACTACGGTGGCCGAGAAGTGCAAAGCAGATCACAATTCTGAAAACAAAATAACAAATTACAAACGCAAATGCAAGTCTAAAAAACAAAATAACAATTCAGAAAGCACAACAACAATTCAGAAAACATTATAACAAGTCAGAAAACACAATGACAAATTCGAAAACAAAATAACAAGTCAGAAAACTCAACGACAAATCCGGAAACAAATGAACATTAAGTAGGCTACTTGAAATTAGATTATATTTAATTTTAAATCACTCGTAATCAGAGTTACTTTACATTACGTTACGTTACATTGATTTCATATGATTGATTCTCCATCGTTTTTCTTTCCGTCTTTTAAATGTTCCTTTCTAAAACACCCTAACGCTTACATACATCCAGAAAGTGTTTTGTGGACATTCACACAAAGGTGGCTATAAATGCACAGAAAATTAAGAGGCCACGCAGCATTTGACCACTGGATTTTATTTCGGTTTAAGAAGTATTTTCTACGGTGACCGAGAAGTGCAAAGCAGATCACAATTCTGAAAACAAAATAACAAATTACAAACGCAAATGCAAGTCTAAAAAACAAAATAACAATTCAGAAAGCACAACAACAATTCAGAAAACATTATAACAAGTCAGAAAACACAAAAAAACGATGGAGAATCAATCATATGAAATCAATGTAACGTAACGTAATGTCAAGTAACTCTGATTACGAGTGATTTAAAATTAAATATAATCTAATTTCAAGTAGCCTACTTAATTTTTGGATTACGTAAGCCTGATTAAATGTAATCACTTAGTACCCAGCACTAGATTAATCTATAGAAGAGTTCACGTTGGCGGTTAGGATCGTTCTTACGTTATTTTAATGTCCATTTCCCAATAATATAGAAAAATACATACCCATACACCCACTCACCACACACACACACACACACACATGTTGTGTTTCCATGTTTTATGGGGACATTCCATAGGCTTATTATATTATATATTATTATCCTTGATGCTGTAAATTAATCGCTATTAATTACATTCGATTGTATAAATTCATTGTATGCTGTATACTACATCCCAAATTAATTTAGTTTTATGCATCTGTTAATGAAGACAGTGTTCGACTATCTTAACATTGCTCTCTTTCTGTTAATTCAATTATTCAAATACATAGCAGGCAACATATGTAGACAAAACATTTGTGTATGATATTTTGGGGCATGATCTGGGAGAAAATGTCTCAAAATGGGCCATTTTTACACGTTCCTTAAAAGTCACGAAGAAATTGTGTATACTGAATTAATATGAAGGATTTTTTTAAACAGGTGTTTTACCTGTCTTTTCAATTTTACACTGCACTGAGTTGTGTTTCAGAGTTAACGGAAATTTCCGTAAAATTAATGGAGTATGAAAAGTGTGAACTAGATTCTCTGCAGAAATATAACAAAACAAAATACAGTGACTGTATACACTATGTCGGTATTGCGAAATAAACAAGACATTGGTTTGTTTCGTGCTGATTTATTTTTTGCAGTTTGCTTGCTGTAAACGAACGCGTAAAAGCAACAGTTCCACAATATCACAACAACGCATTTATGTAAAGAACATGAGAGAATTTTCAAATTCAAATCAAGTTTGATCTGTAATTCTGTATAGACGCAGTGAGTCGGTTGAAATGAAGCTCTTTCTCCGTCCTTGAGCTTTTTCCATCAGATTCTGGGTTGGAATCACAATGAAATGAGTGACAGTGGTGTTAAACGTCACATACAAGTATAAGTCACATAGAATAGGATGTGTCACTGTTAATAGGCCTATTTCTTCCTGTTGTTTAACAAACGGAATCTATAGGCACGAGAACATACACTCTTAAAAATAAAGGTGCTTCACGATGCCGTAGAAGAACCTTTTTGTCTAAATGGTTCCATAAGGAACCTTTAACATCTGAAGAACCTTTCTGTTTCACAAAAGCTTCTTTGTGGCAAAAGAAGGTTCTTCAGATTATAAAAAGGTAAGAAAGAGATGGTTCTTTAAAGAACCATCTCTTTCTTACCTTTTTATAATCTGAAGAACCTTCTTTTGCCACAAAGAAGCTTTTGTGAAACAGAAAGGTTCTTCAGATGTTAAAGGTTCCTTATGGAACCATTTAGACAAAAAGGTTCTTCTACGGCATCGTGAAGCACCTTTATTTTTAAGAGTGTAGTATCTGACAGTTTTTAAAAACTACGGTGGATAAAAGAATGGTTACTTGTCAAATTAAGTCACTTTTACTCATGTTGGAGAAAGTGTTTAAAGTCTGGCACTAATAGTCCACACACTATATATTATCATCATAATAGCCTATTAAATATAAATATGATAAAACAACGAATTGTGCCCTTGATACCTAACAGGTAGGCCTATCATTGCATTATGTTTTGAAAAGTTTGATTATTTAATTACACTGTCATAAATTTAGTCTTGACAGTGTTAGCGGCTTTACGAGCAACTGATGGCTGTTATAAAATTTATTGCTACTAGTTTTACTATTTCCGAATAAGGTCTATAAAACACCAAACAATGAATGAACTAAGGATGGTGGGAAGACAAAACGACAACGAACACATGTAGCAGAGAAAAGTGAAAAAGCAACACCTCGGTTAAACTGCAGATAACCTTAGATAAGGTTTACCGTGCCTCTTACGTGAAGTTTAGACATACACTAACATAATTGCTGCTCGTTTCAATTGTTTTGGCCCACAACTATGTCCCACAGGCTGGACAGGAATCGGAGTTCTAAATTTGTTTTCTGTGTTGCTGTAATCAACATAAGTTGCCTATCCTCTTACATACTTCTATAAAAGTTATAATGAAAGTATATGGTTATAGGGCGTTTTAACTGGAGGCTTCATTCCTATTGAGGGATAATCAGTGCGGAGTTTCTTGCAGTTGTTGTTCACAGAATAGCAAAGCAACTGTCAGACCAAAGCCACACAAAGACAGTATAAAATATTTCGTCTTACAGTCATTTCACAATTATTTCGTGGTAGCCTACTTTAAGCATGTGTTGATTTCGTTGTAGGCCTATACAGTGATGTCGTTTGTATAAGATAGCAAAAAATGAATTTGTCAATTCTAACCTTGATATTTGTTAATACCTACTGCAGTGAAAGAACACAGCAAAAACAAATGATCTATATCTTCTTTTCAAAGATTAGAAATAGCCTATACCGATGTGCTAACTAACGACGTTGAATCCCTGACAATTTTCAAGCGACAGCTGAAAACCCATCTCTTTCGAAGCTACTTGACTTCATCATAAAAAAAAAAAAATCTCTCGCTTTATTTATTCCTTCTCTTTCTAGCTTGTACTTATTTGAACAATGTCTAAGAACTTGGTATTACAACCACTTCCTGTGTCTGTTTGCCTCTTAAGAAGAATCGCTTTATGTATCCCCCAATTGTAAGTCGCTTTGGATAAAAGCGTCTGCTAAATGACTAAATGTAAATGTGTAAATGTATCTTGTTTAATGTTTAAGGCAAAAGGTAGGCCTATTAAGTAAAATGAATTTGTCCTGTTTTATGTTTTATGTTTTTTTTTTTACTTTGCATGCTGTAGCCTAAATAAAGTTTATTATTGTGTACATGTAATTTATCGAGACACAAAATGAAAATCTCTCCGTTCCGATTTATCATTCTAAATTAACCAATGTAACGTTCTATTTTTGAATATTATTAACCAGCATCAGTTTTGTGATGAGTTATGAGTGGACAGAGTGTTACATCATCATCATTATTTTTATTCCTATTAATATTACAAGATTGAGAACATTGAGAGATAAAAAAAAAAATCTTCTCAGTACAATCTCATTGTGCAATGAATTAATAGGCCTTACATGTTCTGAAGGTAGAGCAGTTGTCAATCTATAGCGATTCCAACCCCACCTTGTAATTTAGAGGGGTTTCTGGTGTTGTCGTTTTGTTAAAGAAATTATGCGACTTGATAAAAAAAATTAACAGGAAAAGAAGTATTGTTGTATTCGTCACAACTTTATTGACGATTTATTTGCGTTATTTTCAAACACTGTATTCATCACGTTTGTTAGCTAATATTCCAAAATGTGAAAAATGATCTGAGAATAGCTACGTTTTTTTTTTTTTACTCCGTACGGGTTTCTACAGAACGTAGCACAAAGAAAATAAATGCATAAAACAGACTTTTTTTTTTTCGCAAAGCTACACAAATGTTCATCAAAAGTATTTGGATCTAATATATTTACAAACATTTACAATGCACTTAATGTATCTGTTTTACAGTTTTTGATAATACACAATAAATTATTGTAGCGCAATATTTGAAATTTCCCGTTACTTATTTGGTCAAATACAGCCTCTTATATGCACTTCTCAGTATCCAAGATATCCGAATTAATAAAATGCGTTTAGAATATCCAAAGAGCAAATCAAAATACACTGAAGAAAAAGATGTTGTAGCTGTCTGGTTTTAACATATGTAAGAATGTAATTTCTGGAAATAAACATGTTTCCACAATTTTGGGAAAAGGAGAAGCACGCATCACATCTAATTGAAAAATAACAGTTTTTGGTGTTAATAAACTGTGCAAATTATGAAAGTTCGATAGGTAGCCTAGTTGTCATGTAGTAGAACATTATTTCAGATAGAATGCTGACACAAGGTGTTAAGGCCGTCAGTTATGCTCTTTTTTTCTTCCTGTTTCCCCTTCTTCTTTGTCCGTGTCCTGGCCAGCTCCTACAGAGCCACTGTCATTGAGGGTGGATGTGAGATTGCTCTCCTTCTTCCACTTCATGCGGCGGTTCTGAAACCAAATTTTAATCTGGCGTTCCGACAAACACAACGCATTGGCAATCTCTATTCTTCTGCGTCTTGTCAAATAACGATTGTAATGGAATTCCTTCTCTAGTTCTAAAGTTTGGTATCGTGAATAGATTTGGCGACCTCGCCGTCTGTCAGACCCATAGCCAACTCCTGTTAGGAAAGAGATGGTTTGGTTAAAGTCAGGAAAAAGGCTCCAAAGATACTGTTCAGTTTAGGTTGACTAATACAATTTTAAATACAGATGACATAATCCCACATTATATTCATCATGCTAAACTTCTCGGAGAATGATATTCTACGTTTATGCATTCTCTATTGAATGGTTTTATTTGGCAAAGCGTTTGTTACAGCCAAATGGTTTTTCTCTATCCACAAAGCGCTTTTAGAGCTGGTCAACAATGCATTTCGTCAGTGCTTTATAGGGTGATAAAACGTGGGGTTCCCAGTCGTAAAAACAAAGTCCACCCCTTACTAAAGTCATCTTTTTTTGTTGTTTCTATACTCACCACTGTGCGAGTTCATCCGCTGCATCCACGGATATATTTGAATACTTCCTTTTGGTTCCTGAGTCTTGCCTTGGTCTGAAGCGTAATCCTGGGTCAATGAACCCTGTGTTTGCCCAAGGCTTTGTCTGCAACTTGGAAGCACATCCTTGTCCTGGTAGAACACATTTGATCCATACTCGTACGGTCCTCGGCTGGACCCGAACATAACGTTTTCTTGTGTTGAATAGAATGGATTGGAGTATATCCGGTTTGGGGCCACGGCAGCGCCATATGGTGAGAAGTGTCGCACCGGGTCATAGCTTGTCGAGCTGAGTGTAACATTGGGCAGAACCTCTTGACCGCTGTTTAAATGGCACGAGAGCGACGGGTTCGTAAAATAGGAATTCATACCTTCTTTCCTCAAAACACACACACATAGGCTATACACACCTTTTCTCTCACTCCTTCTCTTGATCTCTCTAAGCACGCTTTTTTTTCTCACGTATACTTATTCGTGTATTTAATTACAAGTATTGTATAAATAGGCCTAGTTTTTAATTTATGTCAGGACAACCGGCAGATAATATGTACGCAGCCTAATGATTCCAAATCCTCGTTAAAAGATGGGCGAGATGACAATGTCAGTTGACCACTTACTTATCTTCCAATAAAAACACAGGAAGCATCAATAAAATTGCGCAAATAAGACTGTATTTTCTGTGCCCTGTTACAGCAACGTGCAGAACATAACGCATGCACACCCCCTTATATTGAGATATTAGATTATTGATTCTCTCTCTCTCTCTCTCTCTCTGTATATACATATATACACAGACATATATATATATAGGCTATATATATATATATCGCTCGACTTAGTTGTACAAATAAGTACAAATCACTGGTAGACAATTTATCTTTTTTCTGTCTTTTTTGGCTCGTCAGAGTAATGTCCTGTAATACAGAATTATGTCCACAAGCCCCAACCCCTATAACATAAACGAGATTAAGGTTTAGTAATAAAATTACGTAATTAGTGAATAGCCCTAGCTTGGTTAGGTTAAAGAATCGATTCGCCTAACAACGGCGTCGTCTAATTACGTAAGGAGTGCAAGCTTTGGTTGTTATTCATTTTATTTGGTTTGTATTTAAATATAACATGTGAAATAATGAAGGTAATAATAATGAACAGAGATAAAATAGCCTCTTCACACGCTATATGTTTGATATTGTTTTGGACCATATGGTGTGAATTTTGGCCTACAACTACTGTTGAGAAAGTGTTTTTAAAAGTCTCAAAACATTTTTTTTTTTTTTGTGGCTGGGGGATCCGTTGGGCAAATTTATAAACACCGTTGATTTGTACTTATTTGTACAACTAAGTAACCCTCAAATTGCTTTACTTTATATATAGAGAGTAAAAGTCGAGCGATATATATATAGCCTATATATATGTCTGTGTATATATATGTATACACACTGTATATTCCATTTCAGGACTGTATTTCACAGCCATACCAAGTAATAGGATGGATTATTAAGTCGATTAAACTTATATGAACAAACCAACGTTCTTATCGTTTTCTGAAGCCGTCTTGTATTTTGCCACTCGGCTAAATAACCTGTGTACATGGAAAATAAACGCGTTTCATTGATTAAACTTTATATAAAATTTGTATTTTTTATATTAGCCAGTTTACTGACAACCAGTTTTTCTCTGACAACTGTAAATGCACCAAAATGGTAAATCGGATAAATCAATTAATTAATCCACTAGGCTATATCAGGTGAAAACAAATAATTTTCGACTTGTAGGTTCGCTTAAATTAATGCTTCTTTCAACTTTGCTTAGAGGGATGCTTAAAAGAGGGGTTGGTTTATGGTTTTACTGCAAAGAAATTACTTAATTACCTATGCGAACTGAAAGTCGTAAAAGCAGACAAATGACAGTTTCTGTTGGACTGGCTTTAGCAGCTGCAGGCCTATGTAATCTTACACATATCACAAAATTGTTCTTTTTTTGTTAGAAGCACTTGGAAGTCTTGAATAAGTCCTTGGAAGTCTTGTCCGAAGGGAAAGTCCTGTTTTTATACTGTAAAATTACAAAAAAAATAAAAATCTCGTTGAAAAAAAAAAACATGCTACGTTCAGCTACTTTGATGACGCATTACAAAAGGCACAGAATATCTTGCATTTTAAGTTGTTTATTTGTTTCAGCCTGCAGCCATTCTGCCGTTTCCACATTGCAGCCATTCCAGTCGAATAGGTCGTCGCGCTTGAATCTGGGGCAAGTTCAAGCTCAAACCGGTGTGCACCGTTTTGCTAGTTTAAAAAACATTTTGCACCGTTTTGTCGGGGCTGAACGCAGCCCCCGTGTTTCTTTTTCCAGAATGATTCTAATGACATGTTACATTAATGTCCATGTGAATTTCATAAAAGCCGTTGTTGAATGTTTATTGCAACATTTTCTCTTTAAGCTATAATCAAAGCCGTCTTCGATGATTTCGAGTGACCGTTGCTTTTTGCAAAGGGTTTAATTTTGTTTAGCCTATGTGTGATCAAAACAGAATGTTGTTTTATACGACAACATGTAAAACAAACAGCAATATTTCACAAAATTTGCCACTGGCTCTCAAAGTGTAAAGTACATTGGAATGAATGAAATAAAGACATGTGGAGTGCATTTGTGCAGGGAAGTGTTTTATTGCAGTTCTTTTCTGTGGCCTGTGAGAGTCTGGCCTTCACAACAATCCACTGTCGGCAAATGCCAGATAACTGTCCTTATTAACACAGATTGCTTCGAATACACTATAAAGAACATTAATTCCAGAAATCTTTGGTAAAAAGTACGTAAATTGTATATAATAACACACACACACACAAATATATATATATATATAAAACATTGACAAATGAGAAAAACAAACAAACATATAATTTGCATAACATGACACAAATGAGGTAAAAACAACAACAACAATAATAATAGGCTAAGAAAAAGAAGAATGGTTGATTATTATAGTGGTCTATACATTTCCATTATTTTTAAAAGGACAGGAAAATAAATGTTACATTATGCTTAAAATTACAGAATTACTAATAGCCTACGTGATCTTATTAAAATTGATTTATAATAACCAAATATTAGTTATCATGCAAATTAAACTATTTCTTTAATCCAGAACACTGAATTTTTTTTACCAATGACATTTCAAATAGTGCAGCTTCCATACTTCCTTCAGGACAGGTGACCCTTTGACATTATTTCAGGCGCCTGCGCATTTATATATTGTTTTCGTTCAACATTTGTACAGGTGTTGTCGTTCACAGATGTTACTAACTACAGATTACAGCAATCAATATATTTCAAATTTAAAATGTAGTATTTTATCAAATTAATCACTTTGCATACAAAGGATAAATTCTGATGTGGAAATGCGTGGATTTTTAGGCATTTATTTATATGCAAGATTTCTGCATTTCCAAGCATGGCTGCTATACAAATATTGGAATTTGACGCCAAGAATATCGCATAATTCTGATCAATATGAGGTTTTTAAAACGTATGGTAACATTTTGGCCATATAATGTAGTTTGGTTTTTCCAATTTTATTTGCAGGATATGAACATTTCAGCTTTATAGAATGGCCTGATTTGTTTCGCTCCATTTGAACGCTGCGGCATACCATATAGAGTACGTAAGGATATGAATATAAGCCTCGTAAATGAATGAAGAGAAACACTGAAGACGGAGCATACATTAATGAACACTAGATGGCAGTGCTGCCCTCCATAATGTCTGCAAAGAGAAGTCTTTTTAATTTAGGGCATACTTCTCATTCTAAAGTATTTTGGTATAGCCGGCTGAACTTTGATTTTGTATAAACTACTTGTAGCTATGATTCAAATATGCCTTTTCTCCATGTCTAACTAATGCAGTGAAAATGTGGTAATTTCTCTTACAAGTGTGTTTGCGAGTTTATTAAGTAGGCTACACACTGACTGATAATCCAAACGTAAACAAATGAGAAGTGCGGAAGAAAAAACTTACCCACGCTAAACACGCTTTCCTTGTGACGCACTATGACAGTTCCGGCTGCAAGGCTTCTAATGAGAGGGTGGGGATGATCGCAAGCATTTCATAATTAACAAGGGTTTTTTTTTTTTTTTAATTAAGTAATCCACAAATTTGTGAGCGTCCATTCCCGTGCCCTTTAGTGAAAAGACAACGCACTCGACTAGTGTTGTCTGCTTTCAAAACTTTGAAGACCAAATGCAGTGAGCGCTGTAATGAAAGGAACTGATAGGTAGAAACGACTGTCAGGTGTATTTTAACGTTGTTGCAGTTGCTAAAAACGGAACGTTCCGCGTTCAGCCTGATGGTAAACGCATATGAACGGGGTAGAACAACTATATAAAGTTCATGGACACGAAAAGGACACCATGTGACTTAGCTCAGCCAATCCACTCCTTGGCTTAGTCGTACAATTTTATTACATAGCTGTAAATTTTCCACCAAACAAGCAAGAATGTTGCGCCTTTCTGTGTTGGACTTGCTAATCGACTTTTTCTTCGCATATGGATGCGATTAAATTATCATACTGTAAGACTTGGATTCTTTAACACCTGATATTATTTAGGCTACACATTAATTTATATGATATGTGATTCAGAGAAGAGTTCAAATATAGCCTAGTAGCCTAAATCACTTTCACCAAATGTAGCCTTACAAAATGACAGTAGGCCTACATTATGCAATTATTCACTAGTTTTAAATTCGACTCTGGTAGGCTATAGTGTGGCATACATTTTAAATATTACCAGTTTCTTGTAACAAAATAAAAGTACAGACACTGTTACATCTTCCAAAAGATTCAACCAAATTTTAAGCTTTTTGTTTCGTTTGTTTACGAATACGCCCTTTGTTGTTTGTTATACAATACTGGAATCAAATAGTAGGCCTAGTAGTAGTAGTAGGCCTAGTAATAACATGAAATAAACTAAATGAATTAAATAAATAAATAGGCCTACCGTTATTGTAAACATATATTTTTTTTATGGAAGTAGGCCTAGGCTATACTTACATGGCGTCTTATGTTAAACCTATTTAAATAACCATTTTATAGTCGTTTTAGCGTTTATGGTCTTGCGTTGTCATGTTGACAAAGTTGTAAAATTAACTTTACACAGAAAAGATTAGTAGCGATTTTCCCCCATGCTAATAAAGTTAAATAGCCTAACCGATTGGGGAATAATTCGCATTTCCCTAATAACTGATACTTTTACAAAATGTATATAGCCTAATATAATTCGAAAGTAATTCGTCAAAATTGCTTGCTTATGTCCAATTACAAGAGTATAATTACATATGCCCATTAGGCGATGGTTCCTTCTCTGAAGACAAGATTT